GGAGAAAAATTGATTTTTGAATAGTGATATGATGGGAAATGTGTGGTTGAAAAAGAAGAAAAAAGTATTGATGTGATGGAAAATATTATTTTATTGAAGAATGTGTGGTTGAAAATGAGAAGTGATTTACTGTAGAAAAGGAGAATTGTTACCAAACAGGCTCTGAATTTACGACATTGTCACATTCTAAAAAAGTTTGAAATTTGCAGTTTACGAATCTTCCTTAGAAGCTGAAGTAATGACAATGACACCTTCTAAAAAAGTTTGAACTTTGTGTTTATGAATTTCCCTTAGAAGCTGAATTAACAACAATTTCATATCGGTTACTATATAATAGTTTTCTCTTCTAAAAAAATATGGAATTGCACATCCTAGTGAATTAACATTATTGAGATGAAGAGAATTGTCATGTATGTTTCTGCTTTGCCCTCTGTGGCGTGTGTAGGTTGCGTGTACTAGCTATACGTACTGACTGCTGAACAATATTCTTGCAGGTGCAAATAATTCAGCAAATAAATCATGATGGGGAGGTTAATCGGGCTCGTTATATGCCCCAAAACCCATTCATTATTGCCACCAAGACAGTTAGTGCGGAAGTATATGTTTTTGATTATAGCAAACATCCATCTAAGCCTCCTTTAGATGGTGCTTGCAATCCTGATTTGAGGTTGAGGGGTCACAATACTGAAGGCTATGGTTTATCATGGAGTCATTTCAAGCAGGGTTATCTATTGAGTGGTTCAGATGACTCCCAAATATGCTTGTGGGACATCAATGCAACTCCAAGGAATAAGACTCTTGATGCAATGCAAATTTTTAAGGTATGTACTGATAAAGACATGTTATAATTCCTTTTGATTGTGTTCCTCTGATCTTTCAGCATACAGAAAATCTTCTCTCTTGGATTGTTGTCCTTAATTTTCCATCTTGAAATTTTATGGCTTCTTTGACAATTATCTAATAATTTCTATGTATAGATTCATGAAGGCGTTGTAGAAGACGTAGCATGGCATCTCAGGCATGAGTACTTGTTTGGTTCGGCAGGGGATGATCAATACCTGCACATATGGGATCTCCGTGCTCCATCAGGCAGCAAGCCTATTCAATCTGTAATTGCTCATCAAAGTGAGGTGTGTCTCAGTTTCAATCCGTATTTCCGCTGAAGAGGAGAATTGGACTGTTTATATTGTTATATCTGATTTCTTAGTTATTCACGAGTAGTTAATCAATATACAATAATAAAAACATGATCTTATTGAAGCATTAACAATACTTTCTGGGTGAACTCATCAAGTAAAAGCACACATGCACTGGGATTTATATCATATAGCCCTTGTTTGAGCCCCATTTTGAGATGAAAAAATGCATTTTTAAATAGTGATTTTTGGAGAATGTGTGGTTAAAATGAAGAAAAAGTTTTCGATTTACTTATTACATTATTTTATTGGAGAATGTGTGGTTGAAAATGAGTTTTGAAAAAAAATGAAATTTTGATAAAATGGGACCCATATTCTTGTGACCTGGAATTTAGAATTCTCACATTTTCAAATCCAGGAACTGAGAAATAATAAGTCCTATAAAAATGTATCTTCTAGACTATTGAAAGGAAAATCCCTTTTACTGCTACATGTTTCTTCTTTTCTGTCTGCTTTAGGCTGCGACTTTAGACACTTGGATGCTCGATGCAACTTTCAATTTTTCTGCTATAGAATATATACCAGCAACAGCAAAATAATTGATTTGTTTTTTTGGCCGGTCATTGCAACCGTTCACTTAAGTAAGCCCTTATAGGAGCCACAAATTTATCTGGTGCATATTAAGTCTCCCTAACTCGTTCCGTGAATTATCTGGTCAGCATTATGTTCCCCATAGGAACGCTATTCCTTGTTCTTCTTCAGCTAAAATATACATAGGCTGGAGGAAGCACTGTATTCCTTAAACCTCGAAATTTGACCGACATCTCTATACTTTCCATTCATGTGGAAAGGGAGTTTGTATTAGATTTTACTTCCTGATGCTTGCATTCCACATTTAGTTTTCTTTTCTAGTATTTGAATTTATAAAATGCATATTACTAGCAGAATAAATTTCGTTGATTTATCTGTTGGTAGGTGAACTGTTTATCTTTCAATCCTTTCAATGAGTGGGTTGTAGCAACGGGATCTACTGACAAGACTGTTAAATTATTCGATCTACGCAAGATTTCAACAGCACTCCATACCTTTGATTGTCACAAGTAAGATATATTTCTTGATTTTGGTTTCTACCGAAATTATTTAAATTTCCAGTAGTCTTTTGAGCATGAAATCTATGGATATCTATGCTTCAACAAAATGTAGGCATGAAATGTTGTTCCTATTCTTCATTATCTTATTCCCGAGGTTGCACAACAGGGAGGAGGTTTTCCAGGTTGGTTGGAATCCAAAGAACGAGACCATCTTAGCTTCTTGTTGTCTTGGCAGGCGACTCATGGTGTGGGATCTTAGCAGGTAATTCTCCATATCCAGTTATAGAGGCAATACTTTTAATGGGGTCACGGATCCTCGTGTGGTATTTTTGAAGCAGTGGGGTATTTTAGTTTTCGACTTTTTAGAGAATTCTGGTCTACTCACACTACTTTTCCAAAACAGTTGTCCAGTTACGAGCTTTTAAATTTGAATCTGTACCACGATGGCTTGCTGTAAGACGTGCCTTACTGGTTTCATGACCAATCTAGAACGGGTTCTGGAGAATGATGGCAAACGTATCTCTTCCCTACTCCAATCTGAACTCTATGCTCAATAGTAGAAAGTTTAGTGTCAATTTGATATTCCTCCATTTCACTTCTATTCTCTTTAGGATTTTGCAACCCTATCTAGGGTAGCATTTCCTTTTCCCATATTGGGTACTTATTTGTAGATTCTTTTTCTTTTATTGCTTGTTATATCTTTGTCGTTTATTGTTGAAATCCTCGAGTCTCTGCAAGTCGGGAGAAGCTCCATAAAGCTTGCTAGTTCATTTATCATTTGTTCACACATGCAAACGTTTTGAGAGCTTTAATACATAATAATTCCTTCCCGTTTGAGACAGCATTTTAAATAGCATAACCCGATAAGTAACTTTATGTTTCTTGTTTGCAGGATTGAAGCAGAACAGACGCCAGAGGATGCTGAAGATGGGCCGCCCGAGTTGCTTTTTATTCACGGTGGTCATACGAGTAAAATTTCAGACTTCTCATGGAACCCATGTGAAGATTGGGTTGTCGCAAGCGTAGCAGAGGATAACATACTACAAATCTGGCAAATGGCTGAGAATATTTATCATGACGAAGATGATCTACCCGGAGACGACTCCACTAGAGGAACCTAATGTTTATTTATGATCAGATAGAGAAGCATGTATTTGGGTTTGTTGAATCAAATTTCTTCTGTAGAGATGTATTATTATGTATTGAATTATGATTTACTGCAAAGAGTTGAGTTTTTTTTTTATCGCATCGAATGCAATTCTTGATTCGTGCTGCAGCCTAGCCTATAGATAGTGCAGGGTTGGCTTGATCGATTTTTTGTTTTATTATTTGTCAAAATAAAATGTCTCCTGTAAAAATATTTTATTAAGCACGGTTTGGTTTAGCTAAAAAAATTGCTAAAAATTTAACTCAAAATTAATAATTAATTTTAACTTCACATTTTTTAGATCCATAATTTCTGACAATTTTTTAATTATATATATCCTCAATTTGTATTAAAATTTACTAAAAAATTGATATTTAACAAAAAAATCAATTTGGGGCTAAATAGGGTTTTGCTGTTGTGCCAAATGATTGGAATGTCTTTTTAGTTTTTATTAAAATGTCTTGGAGGAAATTTAGGCAAATTGGAATGTCTTTTAAGTTTTTATTAAGGAGACTAGAGTATTTATCTATATTAGAAATTCTCGTCATTTTATTTATCCCGATTACAACTATAACACATATAACATTTTTTTTTTTACAACCTTGAGAGGTTGTTCAATTGGTCAAACTTTAGGTTTGTTCCTCAATGGTCACCAGTTCGAGTTCCCTCATGGTCATTGAGGTGAGTACCCGGCCGTAAACTTCAGGGTTCCGTGAGATTAGTCGAGGTGCGCGCAAGTTGACCCTAACATCCACGGTTATAAAAAAAAAAACAATTTTTTTTACAAAAACAATGTCAAAGTGTGTTTGATGGACTATAAATTGTTATCAACTTTGTTTAAATTGATTATAATTTTTAGATAACTCAAAATTCGTACGAAAAAGAAATGAAACTTTGGTAATGTTTTTGAAGAGAGAATGGAATATTTATCAAAAAATTTATTTGCACAAACTCAGCCCATGTTTGGTATACATTTTTTCAAAACTCATTTTCAAATTTCAACCACACATTTTTCGATAAAATAATATTTTACTTCACATCAATAATTTTTCTTTACTTTTTAACCACATATTTTTCATTATATCACTATTTAAAATACATTCGTTTCTCAATAATATCCATCAAACACATCGTCAAAAGTAGTTACAATTTTTATTCAATTTAAATAAAAAAACCTATATTCATCTCAATTCTTATGAAAAAAGAGGCCTTTTAAAATTCCCAAATACTTACATTTTTCTCTTCCCACGCCTACTAGTATATATTAAAGCCCTAATTTTCTCTCTCCAACCTTGTTACCTTCAAGCAATCCTCTGGTACGATACTAAACATTTCGGAAATTTAATTAATTTGTCATTGAATTGGGGGCGAGACTTGCTTCGGATATAAGCAAAAGTTCATTTTTTTTGCAAATTTGATGCTTTGACTATGCATAATTCATAAGTATGATGACTGCAGCTTTCGAACTGGTTCTTCAAAAGTTAAAATGTTCAAGAAATTGTAAATACAATTATCAAGTGTTTGCAGATGTTCTTAAATCCTGTGCCGCAATATCTGGTACCAGTTTGGGGAAAACTCTACATGGTCAAGTTATTAGGCAAGGTCATAATTCATGCCAGTTTGTTTTGAAAGCGTTGCTTAACATGTATGCTAAATGTAAAGCTCTTGAAGATTGTCAGAAATTGTTTGGTGAAATTAATAGTCGTGATATTGTTACTTGGAACATTGTATTGTCTGGGTTTTCTGGTACACTGAAGGATGATAATAAGGTGATGCAGTTGTTTCGTAGGCTACATTTTGCTTGTGACCCTAAGCCAACCTCGATTACTCTTGCTATTGTTGTTCCAGTGTATACACGCTCCGGTGCTTTGAGTGCTGGAAAGTGCATTCATTCGTATGCTATAAAGTCTGGAATGGAATCGCTGACACTGGTAGGAAATGCTTTATTGTCCATGTATGCAAAATGTGGGTTTGTGTTAGATGCATCCTCTGTTTTTCATGGAATTGCTGACAAAGATGTTGTTTCGTGGAATGCAGTCATTGCAGGTTTTGCTGAGAATAATCTTGTGGATGATGCTTTTCAACTTTTTCAGTGGATGATTAAAGGGCAAGTAGTACCTAATTATGCAACAGTTGCAAATATTTTGCCTATCTGTGCTGGTTTGGAAGAGATTGTGGGCTATAGATATGGAAAAGAGATCCATTGTTATGTCTTGAGACATGCTGAATTGGGCGATGAAGTTACTGTTGTTAATGCTCTTCTAAGTTGCTACCTGAGATTGGGACAAATAAGAGAAGCAGAGTCATTGTTTCGGGGGATGAAAAGATGGGACGTGGTTTCCTGGAACTCAATAATTGCTGGATATGCTTCAAATGGTGAATGGTTAAAAGCATTGGACATGTTTCGAGAGTTTCTTGTTGTAGAGAAGATTGAACCAGACTCTGTTACCCTACTCAGCATTCTTCCTGCATGCGCCCTGCTATCGAATCTGCATGTGGGGAAGCAAATACATGGGCTTGTTATTCGTCGCCGTGGCCTATTTGAGGATACATCTGTAGGAAATGCCCTAATAAGCATGTATGCAAAATCTGGCTGCACAGAAGCTGCATTCTCGACATTTTTACTTATTCCTAAAAGAGATGTAATATCATGGAACACCCTGCTGGATGCATTATGTGAAAATATACTTGATACTGAGTTTTTTGAAGTCTTAAGTTGGATGTTACGTGAAGGAATAAAACCTGATTCAGTTACTATCTTAGCTGTGGTTCGATTTTTGAGCAGTCTTTCCATAGTAGATAAGGTTAGAGAAGCTCACGGGTTTTCATTAAGATCTGGTCTTTTGCTTAGTGGTACTGAGCCCACCCTTGCGAATGCATTACTTGATGCATATGCAAAATGTGGAAATATGGTGTTTGCATCGAAACTTTTTGAGAGTTTATCCAGAAATAGAAATGTGATTACATGCAATTCAATGATATCCGGATATGCGGCTAATGGTTTGCATGATGATGCAAATTTGATATTTCAGACCATGCCCGAGAGGGATCTTACAACTTGGAATCTCATGGTGCAGGTTTATGCACAAAATCAGTTTCCTGATGAAGCTCTCAATTTGTTTCAGGAGTTACAGTATCATGAACTAAAACCTGATGCCATGACAATTATGAGTATTCTTCCTGTTTGTACTCAAAAGGCTTCACTCCACATGTTAAGGCAGTGTCACGGGTACGTAGTCAGGGCTTGTTTTGAGGATGTCCATCTAAAGGCAGCTTTATTAGATGTGTATTCAAAGTGTGGAAATATTAATGGCGCATATAAGCTCTACAAGTCAATGCCTGAAAGAGACCTGGTTGTGTTTACGGCTATGGTTGGAGGGTACGCAATGCATGGCATGGGAGAAGAAGCTCTTGGAGTTTTTTATCATATGCTTGAGTTTGGTGTAAAACCAGATCATGTCATAATAACGGCCGTTTTATCTGCTTGTAGTCATGCTGGTCTTATTAATGAAGGGTTAATGATTTTTGACTCAATAGAGCAGGTATATCATATGAAACCGAGCATGGAACAGTATGCATGTACAGTGGATCTCCTTGCTCGAGGAGGCCGAGTTAAGGAAGCATTTACTTTTGTAAATCAAATGCCTGTTGCAGCTAATGCCAACATATGGGGTACACTTCTTGGTGCTTGCAAAACCTACCATGAGGTGAATATTGGTCGTGTTGTGGCTGGTCGCCTTTCACTAATGGAAACCAGTGACATTGGAAACTATGTAGTTTTGTCAAATATATATGCTGCGGATGCCAGATGGGATGGGGTATTAGAGACGAGAAGATTGATGAAGATGAAAAACCTGCAAAAGCCAGCAGGATGCAGTTGGATAGAAGTGGGAAGGAGGAAAAATGTATTTGTAGCTGGAGATTATTTCACCCTAAGAGAAACATGATTTACAGCATGTTGAGTAACCTGGATAAGCAAATCAAAGAACTATACAAGTCCCCATGATATTTTCAGTAACTGTCATAATCATTTTTAAATTTGAGAAAAATCTTGAAAGAAGAGATGCAGAGCAGCAGTATACTTGCTTTTAATTAGGCAATGAATATGGAGAGGCTTTTGCACCATACCTTGTTCGATTTAAAGGACATGATTTCTCCTACGAGTGAATTGGAAGATGCTAAACTATGCTTGATGGGACATCAATGCATCTTTCAAGACTTCAAATATTAAGGTTTTCCATGCAATGCAAATTTTTAGGTATGTAATAAAGGCATTTTTTATAATTCCTTTTAGTTGTGTTACTCTGACTGTCAGTATGCAACCTTGAAACTCATGGTTTCATTTACAACCGTCTAATATTTTATACTAACAGATTCATTAACAAATAGAAGAATGTAGGATGGCATCTTGGCCGTGAGTACTTGTTTGATTCGCTCGGGGATCATCATATGCATTTACAAGATCTCCGTACTCCATCAATCCGCTAACCTTTTCAATGTGAAGTTGCTAATCAAAGTGAGGTGAGTCTCTGTTGCAATTAGCTTCAAGTGGGAAACTGAGCCATACATATTGTTACATCTAATTTTTAAGTTATTCATGTGGGTAGCTCATATAGAATAATGAGAATATGACCCATTAATACTTTCTTGGTGAATTATTTGTTAGGAGCTTACTTGCATCCATATTTTTTGTGTTTTACTGTCACAACCTGGGATGTACAAGTAAAACAAGCGCGTGTTAAAAAAATGTTTAAAATGTCTACTAGACTTTCAAATGGGAATGCGTTTATACCACATGGTTGTTATTTTTGTTTGCTTTAGTTGGGTGACTTTAGATGCTTGAATGCTCATTGCAACTTCCAGTTTCCTGCTATCAGTTCAAAGTTAGATTATTAAATAACAACAGAATTAACTTGTTTTTTTCTTTTTCTGCCCTAACTGCAAATGATCACTTATTCGACGCCGCAGATCTTA